CAGACCTCATCACCAAGCACCTGACTACATGTCTAAGCAGCAGCAGCAACAGCCTGGGCTGTAGCCTTGCGCTCGTTCTCGAGCACAGCCTCGAGCACGCCGGTCGCGCCCTGGCCTGCCTTCATCTCGTTGATGACATCAGTCAGGCCAAGTTGCTCGTCAGTCCAGAGGGGAGCGACCTCCTCCTTGCCAGCCTCGCCGACGCCAATGAAGCCGCCTTCAGCAGCCCATTCGCTTGTGCGCTTGATGCCCAACTGCTTCCACACAGCATCAACCGCCTCGACCAGGTGGTCGCGGTACTCCCGGATGTGACCTGGGGTCGGCGTGATGCGTAGTCGTTCCTGGCCTACAGGAACAGTGGGGTAGTTGATGGCCTGGACGTAGATGCCCCAGTCCTCGAGGAGGAGGTCAGACGCCTTCCTGGCCACCTCGGCGTTTCCAACAAGGACGGGAATAATGTGGCTAGGGTTCGGGATGACAGGGATGTTCTTCTCGCTCAAAGCATCCTTGACAGCGCGGGTGTGGAGTTGCTGCAGGCGTCGGTCACCCTGGTAGTTGGCCTGGTACTCAATGGCCGTCTTGGCACCTGCCATGGTCGCCGGTGGAAGGGAAGTAGTGAAAATGAAGCCGGGAGCGAGCGATCGGATAGTGTCGACAAGCTTGGCAGAGCCGGCAATATAGCCGCCAACGCAGCCGTAAGCTTTTCCGAGTGTACCAGTGATGATGTCTACGCGATCCTGAATAGTGCCCTGGGGCCGCCCTGCCTTGTGTGCTTCGTAGTCGAGATGTTCAGCGACACCGGCGCCGTGTGGTCCGTACATGCCTACAGCATGGACTTCGTCCAAAAAGGTAATGGCACCGTACTTCTCAGCGAGGTCGCAGATTTCTTCGATAGGTCCAATGGAACCGCACATGCTGTACACACTCTCAAAGGCAATGATCTTGGGGTATTCGGCAGGAATTGACTGCAGCTTCGCCTCAAGGTCTGCGACATCGTTGTGCTTGAATACCATCTTTTTCGCGCCTGAATGACGGATGCCCTGGATCATAGAGGCGTGGTTCAAGCTATCAGAGAGAATAACGCAGTTGGGCAGTTTGCTGCCGAGAGTCGCAAGAGTCGCATCGTTTGCTACATAGCACGACGAAAAGACGAGCGCAGCCTCCTTGGAGTGGAGCTTTGCAACGGTGTCCTCCAGTGCTACAGCGTGTTGGTTGTGTCCGGAGATGTTTCTGGTACCTCCGGCGCCAGCTCCGTAGTTATCCAGGGTCTCGTGCATCGACTTGAGTACGTGTGGGTTGCGTCCCATGCCGAGGTAGTCGTTGGAGCACCAGACAGTGACTTTGTCCTCCGGGGATTCCTTGTGGGCACGCGGAAATTCCTTGGCCAATCGGTTGATGTTGTTGAAGTAGCGATACGACTTGTCCTTGTGCTTCTTGTCCAGCTCATTGTGGTAAAAGCCTTCATAGTCGAACGTCGCGGCTCGTGGGGCGGACGGAGATGCGACGTTGGAGGGCTTAACATTGGCGGGCTTCAAAGCAGCGTGGGGAAATGGTGGACCTGCGCGATGTCAGCTTATGCTCTGCTTTTCACTCTGTGCCAGAGATGCGGCTATCTCGGCTTCATAGGAATTGGCGTACCCTGCTTGCCTCTGAGGCTCTCGATGTCGACAGCCTGGGCTTCCTTGGACGCTGTCGTGTGTAGCCTGGCTCGGTTCACGCGGGTGTGGTAAGCACGCACACCACCGAAAGCACCAGCAAGAGCGTTGTTGCCATTGCGGGAGCTCTGCACAGCAAGCGCCTTGCCCATGATCGGGCAGCGGCGAGCGAGAACCTGGAGGTTCGACATGCTTCCGGCGCCAGGAGAGACTTCCTGGCGGGCAGCGGCCGTCGTGGTGGAGAGGGAGCGCAGAGTGGCGGGTGACGTCTTGTGAAGGAACGGGCACATGGACTTCGACTGGCGCAAAAGAGCCTCCATGTTGGTCAAATGCGCGGCGTGTATGGGATTCGGTGTGCGTAGTAGGAGTGCAAGCAAATCGAGTGTGGTTGAGGGTGAAGACGGGCGTGAGAGAGAGGGAAAGTCGGTTCGAAAATGTGTCAAAGATGTACTACATGATTTACATGCGGTAATAGCGCGGATTCTAGTATGCCGGGCTTCGGCATCAAATGCACTCGTCATGATTGGTTCATCTATATTAGCCTCCAACGCTGCTTATGCCTTTTTAATCAGCGGTACGGTACTCCGGAGAGTAAATACTCGGATAGTTCCATGGCTTGCTTATACGCGTACAAAGGGTCCAGGGACAGCCTCGTGAGACCCTTTGCCATCAACTTGATACAGCTTCACGCTACGCTCTCTGCACTGAACCGCAATCTTTGTACATGTCATATATCATAGAGATAGACTTGCTGGTGCTCCGATTCCATCATCCAACACCTGAACTGCAACTCCCTGTTCTGTTCAGTAGTCATCATTGTGGCTTTAGCGTACCCCGCCTTTTGCCCGGCGACCTGGCCTCAAACCTCTATTCCGGAGCCGCCACCGTTCCCTTTTGTGAGGTTGATCTCGACAAGCTCATGAGGATCTGCAGTCTATCAGGTTGAGTAGTACATCTCTTCAAAACCTTGGTCTGGATACCTCGGCTTGCCCCCAACTGCGCTTCTTCGCTAGCGTACAGTGCACATGACTAGAGAGCCTTGCCGAAATACGCCGCACGTGGTTCGATATTTTCACACTTCGGCATCTTTGAACATTCCATAAGCAGCTTGTCAGGCCTAAGGTCTAGACCTCACAGCCAAACGGCCCTTTCCAGAGAACACGTAGTTGAACACAACATGCCGCATCTTCCAACGGCCGCCGACTCAGTCATCGTCTGAAATTTCAATGATCTCGGCCTGAGATGGCTGATCAGGATGTCGCAAAGCTTGCTCGCTGAAGGTCGTTCCCATAATCGTATACACATAGTTATAAAATGTGCCTGTCTCGGCAGTCCCGTCATCCATGAAGTTCCTGAGCTCCCCAAGATCTCTGCTAGATGCTTCAGGTCCCTTTGGATAATTGCAGCAAAACCACCATGAAAGGAATAGGGTGGTAAATGTAAGAATCTTGGGCATATCCCGAGGAAGGACACCCTGCAGCTTTGTCTCTCCTTTGCATAACATGTTAACACATGCTCTCATTTCTCTGATGAGGCTGGTCTTTCCAATGTTCTGAACCCGACCACGAATCATTTCGCGGTCGTTGGACTTCAATTCCTGGATGACTTTGGATACAACGCGCTTCCGGTCAAGATGCTCGACTAAATCTTCCCATCTCCAGCGGCGAACTGTAGCAATGGAGGCGCTCTCAGGTTCATCACCGTGATTAACAGGTGTACGCGTGGGAAAGGCGCCGTCTGGTTCAAAAGGCCCTAGTTGTGCATATTCAACTAGCTCCACGCTGTCAGCGATGACTGAGTCTCGCATAGATGACCGGACACGATTATCAAACTGGTCTTCAGTTGTATTGGCTACAGTCCCAGTATCGTTGTCAAAGGACAATGCGTTCCCGTTCTCAATGACGGATGAGCACGAGGGTGAGCCTAGATCGATAACCTCACTTGTTGGCTCGCCTCGGTGATTTGACGTGTCTTGTCGTAGTTTTGGTTGGTCGTCCAGTATGTGTTCTTCTTCGCCGTCGTGGACAGGTTCCAATTTGTAAATATCGCGCAACCAAGCCGCAAGCTCCATGCAATCCACAGTGCCCTCGAGGTTGCTACATTGTTGCCGTACTTGTTTCTGCAAGGATCATTGTCAGTTTATGTTACTGGAGTGACCGAGAAAGTATGATAGCTTACCGCATTGCTTCCTGGATCCTTTATGATCTCGTCACACAATTTGTTCAATCTTTGACTGAAATAATCGTACTCTGTTTCATAGTGCTGTGCAAGCCTTTCTCGTTCGCCTTTTGCTTCAGCCTCGTTCCACACAGTTTTTGGATCTACCCTCTCTTTACTGGGAACGCCTTTGTTCGGTACCCAAGCATTTGTATAAAACTCGATTCGCTCGTTAATAATCCGGACGATCTCGTCCTGGCTCACATTGGTCCGTTTATTCGTCTCTTCGACTGCATCATCATGCTGATCCTCATGTATTTGTGCATCTTCCTCGCCAACATCCATCGACCCAAAGTCGTCCTCATCTTCTAGCTCGTCCTCGTCAGGTAGATCTACGATCTGGTCGCCCCCAGCAATGTTCTGCCATTTCAGCAGATCACTGTAGTCGTTTACGTTTGAATCTACTTGCCGCAATAGCCCGCTGGTTGCCGTATTCAAACTCACTTGAGAACCAGAGAGTACACTGAGCGGCGTTGTTGAGAGGTTAGTGATGTTCCTCCGCTTGTTACCTGCTTCGTCTGTAATGATAACACCTTCGGAGATTCCAGTTCGCCGTACAGAGGGCGAGTTGTCTGCGCTATTGGTATGAAGCGCCATAGCATCAGGAATTTGTGTATCAGGGTAGCCTGCATCTCTGTATAGTGCGTTTGTGTGAAGGTCATCCACTGTCCACAACCGGGGATCGCTCGCGGGCATTTCGCTAGTCCTCGAGCAGGACTGCTGTAACTTGTTGATATTTCGCGACACCTAACAGTGTAGGAAGGCTATGGTGGTGAAAGATGCGGCCATGTCGGAACTAGCTCTGAAGTGGAGCGGATTGGACAACGCGTGGTGAAGGCAGGACAGCCAATAAGGCAAGTGCGCGCCATCACTTGACCACGCGAGGAGGGGCAAACACCACCAAAGTTCACAATCCAAAGTAAAGGCAGAGAGCAAACGAGCGTTGTCCTATCGAATAATTGCTGGTGACTTATTACAATAGATGACTAAGGCCAATCGGTGTGTCTCGGGCTTTGGCGGGGCAAGATGAGGCAATTGCTCTAGCGCGGATAGCATTTGTAAGTCTTTCGTACCTAATCCGTTTGCCCTCTCGACAACAACCGAACCAGCTCAGCAATCAAAAGAATTATGTCGCCTACCGACTACCCGCCGGAGCTATCGAAACAGGAGGAGGAGTATCTACTGTCCAATCTCAAGGATTGGTCGATAGCGCATGGTTTGGCGGTTCGCCCAGCTCCGTCATTCGTCCAGCCATCACAGGATCCATCTGGGGTTCTCGCAAGCACAGCACCAGTCACTCTGTTTCCAAGCTTGTTCCCTCGCTCCTGTTTTGACGAAGGACTCTCCATACAAAACGCTTACAACGAGTTGTACTCAGCTATTGCTAGAGATGAGTCGTGGCTAAAGAGCATCGTAGAGGAGCTTGTACGTGTTGACGACTTCGTTGCAAAGCTATGGCAGACCCATCTTGAAGTCAAGAAGGAAGGCTATGTGCAAGACCTCTCGTTGGGTCTTTTTCGCTCAGACTACATGGTGCATCAAGACCCTTCGCAGTCCAGTTCATCCCCTGGCTTGAAACAGGTCGAGTTCAATACTATTGCATCCTCATTTGGTGGACTATCCTCCCAAGTTTCCGCATTACACAAATATCTTCTTACCATCGACGCTTATCCTAATTCAACGTCATCCATTATCAAGCACGATGCTTTGCGACAGAGCCAATCTGCTTCTTCCTTGGCACAGGGTCTCGCTGCAGCACACAAGGCGTACGGAGCTTCGCACACCAAACGTCCATTATGTGTCCTGTTCGTTGTACAGGACCCGGAGAGAAACGTGTTCGATCAGAGACATCTCGAATACGCCTTACTTGAAGAAAATGGCGTCCGCGCCTTCCGATTACCTTTCGGCGAGACGCTGTCTCACACACAACTCGACACAGACCGTACCTTGGTCTACACGCCACCAAATTCGCCATCAAAATCATATGAAGTTACGACAATCTACTTCCGAGCGGGGTATTCACCGGACGATTACTCAAAAGACGAAGATTGGCATGCCCGTGTTCAGCTTGAAAAAAGCCGTGCCATCAAGTGTCCGAGCGTATTGACTCAGCTTGCTGGCTGCAAAAAAGTCCAGCAGGTGCTTGCTACGCCACATTCTCCGCATCTTAAGCGATTCCTCCCTGATGAGAAGGTCGCTTCGCGTGTGCTGAAAACCTTCGCCCCCATCTATCCCCTAGATAACAGCGAGGCTGGCGAGGAAGCGAAGAAACTTGCGACAGACGCTTCGTCGGCTACCAAGTATGTGCTGAAACCTCAGCGAGAGGGAGGCGGAAATAACATCTACCGGAAAGCCATTCCACCATTCTTGCAGAAGTTGCCCGAGACTCATTGGCCGGCGTACATCCTTATGGAGATGATCGAGCCGCCTCCACTCACAAACGCCATTCTTCGGAACGGTGAATTACAGAGAGGTGGCGTCATTTGCGAGCTTGGCGTATACGGTGTGTGTCTCTGGAGAAATGGAAATGGGGACGATCAAAAGGGCGAGATCCTGGAGAACTGGGAAGCCGGATATCTTCTCCGCACCAAGGGCGACCAAAGCGAGGAGGGTGGTGTGGCCGCGGGGTTCGGAGCGGTGGACAGCTTATGTCTGGTGGACGAATGAACACGCCGTTGAGCACGTATGCGCAGCTCGCTGCCAAACTGGTAGGAGCATTCGATTATAACGGTATTCTGAAGTCGTTCGCACGCATCTTCGGTCGAGCTCAAACCAAGGGTAAGCGACGCGATGTGCTGTACACTGTTAGCGCCGAGCTCTCGCAACGCAACCAACATCAATACATACCCACCTTCAATGTGCCACAGACTACATGTCCACTGCGTCCATCACTGAATTCTTTCAACAAATTAATATTGTGCGTGATCGAGGACGGCAATCGAGCCTCCGTCGTGTAACTCGCGGAAATGCTTGCGCCTCAAATTCGGAAGCTTTTTGCCTGTATTGGCAATCTTAACGGACCCACTATGATCTTGGGAGAACGTGCAGAGCCCAGCCTTCCATGTTGAAGATTCAAGTTCAATCTGTGCGACGACATATATGAAACAGAGATGGCAGTGCGATGCTTCGGAATACTTCGGAGTGCAAGGTGCGAGCAGATATCAGATCTATTGGACTCGCATTACAGCTGTGAGAACTGTCTGTAGACCTGGTGAAGCTAGTGACAAGGAGGTTGGCAGGTCGATCGAATCGCTAGTGCTAACGTCAGGGAGGGAGCACGGAGACGATTCCCACGTTGATGTTCGTCAGAACTGGATCGTCGGCACTGCGCACGGCTGCCTGCAGATCTAGTGCTGCGGACATCTTCGGTTACAGGAGCTGCATTGTCGGTTGCAGGAGTTGCCGTATTAGTTGATTCCCGAGGCCATGATCCCCCCTCTTCGGACAACGCGATGTTGTATCTTTCATTCGATCTAGAATCAAGATCTCGGCAGCTGAAGAAAAATGAAAGATCTCACATTTATCGAGACTTTGAGGCTTGAACCTTGCGGCCGTACTACGGCTGAGTCTCCACGTTGGTTATGTGAGGAGCTCCTTTGTGGAGGGTCTTTATGCATGCTGCGGCAGCTTATGCATGGATGCGTAGCACGATCCCTGTCTACAGAGATGGCAGCCCTACGAATGGCAGCACCTCAGCTCATGATACGTTCTCCTTCATCAACCTCTCACTGGACGTCAGCGCCAAATGCCTGCTTGGCTCAAGTAATCACGGCTCATCTCGCATGCGTACGCGTTCGCTTGTTGGAAACCTTCAGCGCAAGCCTCCCGATCGAATTATCGACGGCATTCGGCAACGTTGAACGCCTCATCGTTGTGTCTTTTGCATGGCATCGGGTACCGTCCGAACGCCCTCAGGTGTCATCGCTGGATCAGGACGATTAGATAAAAAACTAGACTTGTTTTACTCTAGGTGGCTGGAAGGCGTTGCTCGGAAAACGTTAGAATGGCTATGGCTAAAGTCGCAATCTTAATTTCAACTTTGCAAAGGACCACACCACACCTGTTGCAGTATGGGTCATCCCAAAAAAAGCCCGCCGTTTCTGACGCCGCCGAGCTCTATGGCAATGCTTTTTTCTCATTGTAGGAACAGACCCCTGCTTGCTAAGCCTCTCGCTTTTTGCGACCCGCGGGAGGAGTCGTAGATCTCCTAACCGGGCGGGCTGCCGCTGACCTACGGTTTCTGTCGTCCGATATATGCCCAGGTGCGCCTGCACCATTCATTACCTATTTCCTGCATTCTTTTGCATTATCAGCTTCGCGTATTGGCCGTTCGTGCCTACCACACTCCTTTCTATTCGCTCTTTATCACTCTTAGTAATCGGCTCTCGCTATCGACGCTCGCTCTTTGAAACAGTCCTTACCACGAGTCAACTTGCTATTTCTTCAATCTTTGTTCGTGCGTCATCTTTGCGCCCACCCTTCAGACCATATCAGGAGTCGCGCTTTCCTCTTCGAGTATCTTCGCAGGGACTGTTCGTCGCAACCTCCCTCTGTAATCGTAATTCCTCTATGGCATCGGACTCACTGTGTTGCTAGACACGCGCTCTCTACACGGTCGCCATGCGCTTCTCATGTCACTATCTTGTTCTCTGTCTGGCCTTTATTCTATGTCTGCAATTAGCAGGAGCAGCTCCCCATGCTGCAGTCCGCAGACAGGATGACAGCCCTTCCGCGGACTCGACACCTCAAGGCCAGGACAGTGCTTCGCGAAATCCCTCTGCCACACCCAGACCGTCGGAAGTTATCTCATCACAGATCGAGTCAGAACGTCCTTCATCAACACCAGTATCTTCGGTCAAGCCATCAGAGACGCCAGTATCAAGCACCACCAACGATGTTCCCACCTCGATTCCAACTGATGGATCCTCGCCAGTGAGCCCCGAGGGTAAGTTAAATTAATTAAGTCAATTATCACAAACTCAAACTGACCTTGGATTTAGAAAGCAAGCCTGCAGACTCAAAAGACCCACTGCCTATCCACCCAAAGCTCACCCCTGCTATGGGTATCACTGGAGTGCTATTGCTACTCTCTGGGATAGGGTATGCCATTGTTGGTATTAAAAACAAATGGTATGTACATTGTTACTCATCTTCCAATGTAGGCTGACTAGTTCAAGGGTGTACGTGTTCGGCTCTGCGGCCTACCTGACCGCCCTCGCAGTCACTGTGTTGATTGTGTATCTTATGAACCCACCTGTTTCCGACGCCATCCAGGGAGCCTTCTTCGTGGCTGCCTTCTTTACCGGGGTGATCTTCGGTATACTATCACTGGTCTTCTCAGACATCACCGAAGGCTTTGGTTGCTTGCTCGGTGGCTTCTGCCTAAGCATGTGGTTCCTCAGCGTCAAAGACGGCGGCCTAATCACTTCGGGAACTGGTCGGGCAATCTTCATTGGTTGCATGTCAGCTGGAGGTTACTCGTTGGCTTTCAGCCACTACACGCGCACTTACGGTCTGATCGCATCAATCGCCTTCTCGGGTGCCACCGCTACCATTCTTGGTATCGACTGCCTGGCTGGCTCTGGGTGGAAGGAGTTCTGGCTTTACCTCTGGAGTGAGTACTTATACGGTCCCTGCAGACTATTACTGACATTCACAGACTTGAACGATAACATCTTCCCTCTGGACACTAACACTTATCCGGTCACTAAGAACATCAAAGCCGAGCTGGCTGGTGTTGTTATCATCACAGCAGTCGGAATTGTCTCCCAGCTGCGCGTTTGGAAGCTGGTCAAACAGCATCGCGAAAAGGCCGCCGCTCAACAGCTTGAGAGACAGCAAGATCAGGACCGCGAAGAGGAGGAACAAGGACGCAAAGTGGAGGACAACTTCCAGAAAGAACGTGCTCAATGGGAGGCCGCATATGGTGGAAAGGATGTACCCGAGACCAGCGTCCGATCCTCCATCTCAAGTCCCAAAGGCTCCACTCATATTGAAGAGAAGGAAGTCTATGGAAATGACAGCGTGGAAAAACTCAACGTACCGAACACCGGATTGACACGATCAGTCACCAACAGCCCGAACCCTGGTGCTAGCGTTACTATCCGTGTTTTGAATGAGGACGCAATTGAACAGCTTGACCCGGAAACACCAATGTCCGAAAACCAACTTGGGATCCAGATGGGTGAGGGCGAGAAGGCTTTGCCTGCGGCTCCAGAGGATGGCTCGATGCCTACTCCGGCCAAGAGTAACAGCCTACGCCCTTCAGCTCCACCGCCTCCTCCATCAGTCGTTCCACTCCCATTCAAAGTTCCTAGCGAAGAAGATGCGCGTAGCGACGACGACGATAATGCCTCCGTATCTGCTGTTCCTGAGTCCGATCCCGAAGCCGAAGAGTCGCGACGTCTGTCAAAGCGCGTTTCCGATGTCTCTGCCATGAGACAGCGCATTTCCAGGGACATGGTTGCTTCACAAGAGGCTATAATGGGAATGCGACCTGACGAAGATGACCGCGCCTCGTCTCTTGCCGCCACTTTGGACCATGATCTCGATGCGCTGTCTTCTCATGATCTTTCCCCATTGCCATCGCCAGTCGGAGCCGAGAACGACAACCCACTAGAAAAGCCTGGACTTAAGAGGCAAGATTCCGACACAGTACCTTCCAGGAAGAATGCATCGACCGACAACGTCACACCGACATCCCTCACTACCAGCACCGACCCCAAGGTGGAACAGCCACAAAAGAAGTTAACCAAGCAGGACTCTGTAGTCGGGGCTGAAAAGAGCTTATCCAACTCTAAAACTAACAGTGAATACTCCAAGTCTAACCAATCTGAATCGCTATCTCAAAGTTCACCGGTAGAACAAGGCGGATCACAGATTGGCAGTCCTGCTGACAATGTGTTGCCGGAGAAACTGTCAAAGGTAGCCCTATCTTACCGCACGAACGAATGGGCGAAGCATCTCGAGGCCGCCGACAAACCGGATTACGAAGACTTGTTCCGACCTTCGTCTCCAGGGATTATGCTAGCGAATGGACAAGAGGAGAAGCCGGCACCTGTCAGTGAAGAGCTCGCAGCTGATCTATATGACAACAAGCGCGACTCGCGAAGGATGTCGACTGGAAGCAGGACCCAACGGAACAGCAGCAACGGACTCCGACGAAACACTTCCACCTTCTCTCAGGAGTCACTCACCAATCAGCGTTCCATGACGCATTCACCTTCTATCGCATCTCCCGGCATTCTCTCCCGGTCTAATTCCAACATAAGACAAGACACTCTTTCGCCTCTGCCCAGCAACACGCTGTTGAGCAAGCGCGAGAGTCTAATCAAGAACCGGGCATCAGCACTATCCCCCCAAACCTCATCGACAAATCTCCTAGCACAACATGAAGAAGAAGAGATGACACTGGCACAACGCCGTCAATTGCTCCAGCAGCAGCAACTGTTGTCGCCCACTCTCTCACACCAAACATCATTGAGGTCGCCAGGAAGAACACCACCATCGGCTTCGCAGAAGTGGCAGCAGAAGCCCTGGGCCACCAAGGGTGCTCCAGCAGGGTTCGACTCGCATCAGCCCAAACGCGCGAACAGCAGCGCTCAATCGGAGCAGAAGCGTGAGCAACTCTACGCAGGCTGGCGCGATACTATGCGCGACATCCAACCGCCACAGACAGCGGCCCACATTGCAGAACAACAGCGCGCAGCGTTGATCATGGACAGGAGACAGAAGGAGATGGAGAAGCAACAGCGCGAGCTGATGCAGCAGCAGCGTGCTAGTCAGATGGACAGCATGATGCGCAGCGGGCAGATGATGGATGCACACAGAGAGGCGATGAGGAAGATGCAGGCGAATGCCAACCGACACACTTGACTGTGAATATTTCCTTGGAGTTGGATGCGCGAGAGTTTGGAGCCGGCGGGCCCGCACGACCTTATTTTTCGGTAAATGTAGTAGGTTTCTTTCTTATTATTATCATGCAAAGCCTTTGAGCATTGCGACTAGGTCATGTCATCATGATGGATAGGGATGGACATGAGGGACGCGTTATTTTGACGTACATATACCAGTGATATACTATTTGCATGAGGGAGGATTTTGTCTTTATATACAAGCAAGCGGCACAACTTGCGGCGCTATACCAATATCATAACCATAACATATGAACAAGCATTTCGGCAGCAATGTGTGGTGGTGGGTGTGTGCTCTATTGATCGTCGAAAGTAGGCGACGAGTTATATCTGGGATGACGAAGTCACGGGCGTTTGGACTACGACGATGCTTGGAGTCCTGTCAAAGTGAGGCTGGAGGATTGATTAGATATGAGCTGTGCCGCAGCCACCTGTCTCGCGACACGTCTCGAGGTAAGCACAACAGGCAGACTTGGTATGATAGCAGCCACTGCACAGACAGGTGCTGACATCATTCGTGGGTTAGTATCGGAACAAAGTGTGAAAAGGGGGCAAGTGTGATGGACAGGCAATGGAGCTAACATGGCACACGGACGAACCTGTCTAGATGAAAGCAAGTGCGCGATCCGGCGACACGGATCCGGGAAGAGCTGACGGCGCGGCGGTGGGATGTGGCTTGTGTGGTGGGTGATTGCAGGGCTTATTCGCTACTCATGGGCAAGAGATGGTGAGATGTTGTCATGTGTGTAGTGAGATGGACAGGGTAGGCATTGATCGGATCGACGGGGGTCCTGATGGGGACGAGCATAAAGTGTGAGATGGTTACATATACATGGACGATGACGATGGTCGCTGGGCCGTGTTTGAGGCCGGCAGACACTGGGACCGAGGTAGTACTAGCGAATATGGAATACTGTGGGCGGGCTGAGAATAACTTTGGCTCTAGACATTTTGTGTGCGTCGTCACGGGCAGCGACAGCGGACGACGGTTGGCAACGGCTGGCCGCCTGGCCGCCTGGATGTGCCCGCGACGTACGTATTCCAACGTCTGGTAGGTAGTAGTAGTAGTGGTAGTTTTAATTGCAGCCATGGATCAGTTTGACAGGCAATGCCGGGCAGGGTGGGTTAGGCGGTCGTCAGTGTGATGTGATATAACATGTAGGACTGGTTGTTCGGTTCGGTCGCTGCAGGGCTTAATGCAGGCACCTCTGTCGGAAGGGCCTCAGCTGCAGGGGTTACCGTTATTCGGCAGGGCAGTCCTCAGGGCAGCACAAGCCACGGTCCAGCAATGTCGCGCCGGGGAAGCATGGGAGCAGCACTGCACTGGTGGTGCCCAAGTCCAAGTGTGGCCGGACGAGGCGGAGGGGGATCTGGTGGCAGGCCTGCTCGTGTCCATGTGTCGTGCGCGTGTTTTGTACAAGAAGAAGCAAGCACCCGGCCTTGCTCCCCTTTCGAAGCGAGTTTTTTTCCTGATGCGTGTCCAAAGTTTATATCCATGGCCCGTCTCTGTCTCTGCTACTACCACTGTGGACATTGCGACATTGTGAGACACTGACACGCGACAAGACCACCACCACCAGTGACTTTTCCTGCGAACGTCACCTGCTACTCGTCACATACAGCAGCAGCCCTCTCTCGCCATCGTCACCACCGACACGACACGCCCTCTCTAGCCATCGTCGCCCATCCGCCCGCCGCCCGCCTGTGTTGACCGGCCGTTGCTGCAGGCCCGATGCAGTGAGCATGGACCACTTGGGACCCCTAAGGAATTCACCACCAACGCCTTCACCCCGTTCACCGTCACCACGACGACTTCACGCCCGCCCGCCGCTGCTTACCCGTCGCCTTCTGCGTCGCCAGTGCCTGCCCGCTGGTCGCTGACGAACCGCATCTTCAACCTCAATCTGCGCTCGCTGTACCAGGGCCCGCCGCGCCTGCCCGCCTCGCGTCTCTGGAACCCCGTCAACTCTTCTCCACGCACCCTCCAGGTCGAGAATCCCGCCCCCGCAGCAGCACACGCAGCACCCACCGGCGTCTTGTACCCGCCGCTGCGAACTGCCCCGCGCGAAGAGCACTACCCGAACCTGCCCATTGAGAGGGACGTCGGCGCCAGAGAGGACGGCCGCGACGAGTACCCTCTGCTATCCCTTCCAGAGCAGCGCCTCAGTCGCCAGAGCCCTGTGCCGAGCTCCCTCGCTGTCCAACGTTCCACGTGCGAGGACAGCATCAGCGGTCGCACCAGCATCGCCCTTCCGCGCGATCGAAGAAGCCAGCAGCTATCACAGCCGCCCACCCCAGGACCTGCCATGGCTTCTGGTGCGAATCCCAGAGACAGCGTGTCGCCCGCACTGCACGTCGACAAGGACATTGAAGCCGGTCGCAACCATCAGCACCCGCAGCAGCAGCAGCCGGGCATGCTGTCGCGCGTCTCCCTGCCCAGCTCCCGACGCACCTCACTAGGCTCCCGACGATCAGGGTCTGCAGGTGACGACGACGCTGACGCCGCGTCCGAGTTTCCGTGGGGTCCCTCGCATCCCTGCTTTCCCCATCCGAACCCGCATGTGCCACTGGATTCCGAGCTGTACAACACGACGCGTATCATCCGCATAAAGCGCGACTGGATGACCAAGGGTGACCTGGCCCCGACATTTGCCAACCTATACCCCGAGATATTGGACCCACTCGTCACCGAAGACGACTTCCGGATACTGATCAAGAAGATCAACGATACCCTAATTGACGCCTTCGACCCCTTCACCTTTCGCGCCTGTCTCGACACCGTCATGGGCATCGCTACTTTCTGGCTGTGGGAAGATGCGGGGTTCACAGGTGTGAAGAAGCAATTAGCAGAGCTGGAGCGCTGGATCGAAGACTGGAACCGGGACATTGGCGCAAAAGAAGCCGTCAAAATTATCCCATTACGGCGGACCGGATATCTGACAGTATGTGCACACGCATATCCCAATTAGAGCTAGACTAACTTATTCCCCCAGCTCGACGTGCAAATACCAGACCCTCATCTCGGTCCCGACACAGGTACGCGACCACACACGCAAGAAGAAAATCACTCCGACGAAGCGCCACGGCAGCAGCACGACCAATATTTACCATACCCCATTACACCTACCCTACAGGTTAATTCCCAACCACCCATCATCGAAGCGCAGTCGTAATACACATATACACACATAGCATATGAGGACAGAGAAAACAAGGATAACAGTTTAGGAACGATACCACGGGTTTAGCGGCATCAGCACCGGTCGTTGAGGAGTTTGTTGGCCATACGTCTGCTTGGGGGGCCATTTTGTTGACTCTTCTTTTTTCTTTTCTCCCGTGTCACGACATACAGTACACACATCTGCGGCGACGCAAAACACACAAGTCATAATGTTTCTTTTTCCTCGTTTATCGCCTGTTGGGCTCTTGTTCCTGTTTGTTTTTGCGCGATCGATTTTTTCCGATTTTCATTCTGATACCCTGCTGCCGTATTCATTCGCGATACCGTATCGCGACCTTTTGTTTGTGCTGGCCTAGTACCCGATAGATGCCCTGTTGTGGCGTAAGCAAATAACAACCATTATTAATCATCCTCCCTGCTACTACCGTCACACCGTGCCACTCATCGTCTGCTTTTCCCTCAGCGATCCGGCGGCACTTGAAGCGCTACGTCTTCTTGGTGTGGCGAGGCAACTGACTCGACATTCGCCTCAGTCTTGCATTGCCTCGCATTGACACCGTCATTTCCCAACGTTGGTGTTGCCCTTGTTGGAGCTGACTGCATGATCCCGGCGGTACACGTTTCAGCTGTCATGACGTGTTGGTGTAATGACTCGATTTACAAAGTTTATATGTTGACGCCATGGCAGGGTACAGACTCAGGGTTGCCCGAGCTAAGTCCTAGGCATAGAGAGTGGGGAGGAGATATAAGTGGGAAGGATGTGATTTGGTGTATGTGCATAATGAGAAAGTCCTGTGGAAATGGTAACACGTCGGAAGTAAAGAGTGAACGGTTGAATCTGAATCATTGATCGCGATAGGGTAGCATATGTCCTTGCAAGTTCAACGCATACGCTTAGCCGTTCTTCCGCTACCCTTGGATTTCGATTATGAGACATTGTCCAAACCTCTGCTTCCTAATATCATTTGTAGCTGTGGCTGTAGTTGGTAGAGGTAATGGGGGAAGACACTGATCTTCTGCCATCTCTCAAGGGCTCTGGATTGGCGACGACGCGTAGGTTGACGTTGCGGGTTACGATACGGCTATTGATGTAAGCAAATAATAAGACCGGACGTTGAGATACAACAAGACGTATTGTACTTGCCGATTCGCAGGTAGAGCGAAACACGGATGCCAGCCTATTGATCCCCTCTCAACGTCTTCTTGAGACTGCTCATCCATAACCCAATACCACGCCGCGAACTGAGCTTCTTCTTGCATGTCTGTCACATGCTTCATCACGCCGTCGTATACTTGTGGACAGAATGACCGCGGGATGAGGCCATTCGCGTCGAGCGATGCAGCAGGTAGCATGTCAGGAACGGCGGCATGGGAGAGTGTGCGCCAAGTCATGTTGAACATTATCTCTGTTGGTGAGAATTTGGATTCCATGGTTCGTCTTGGTGGAAATACGGATTCCACTCTTGATGGCCGTTCAACTCGGATCATGATAGGGAGCGAAGGGTACGGGCTAAAGTAATCATTTGCAGTCGCGGCAGTGATTTCTGTCGAGAGTGTATTGTGAAAGGCTTAGAGTGTATGTGTAGACGTGCAAGCATATTCGTCGGGGTAAGAAATGGGCGCTGGCAGGTGGAGGTAAATTGTGAAATGGAAGAATGGGTGTTGATTGAACACGAAAGTCAAGGCAACCAGTCTTAGTGGTGACTGTGAAAGCGCAAACGGAGGCATTGGTAGAGGACTCTAAGCTTAGTAAAAATTATTGTTTCGCGTTCCACCTGAATCCATTGTCTTGTCAGTACAGTCTACTACGCTTCTCGCACACACTGGAAGCTATGCCATACAAAACTTGGAGACGATCGAATCTCTAACACTCTAGAATGCAATACCAGTTGTCCACCATGTATCTCCGCTATGCCACCGTACCAGTTGCCCACCCCAGCACCACAACCCGTCTCTTGCATCAGGACCGAATCCTAGACCTCGGAACAAGGAAAGAGGAACCGGCTCGAAAAGCCATACACCACCTCTCGCAAAGTCGTCGCAGAGAAGATGGGCCGTGAAGTAGAACCAGACGTGGACATAAAGGAAGGTGAATCCCTGCTTCAGCCAACCAGGTAGATTGCGACCTAGTCCAGCGGATTTTGCGGCTTGTGTTAAAGTGACTTCAGCGAAAATACCAAGCGCTTGGAGAAGGAAGAATGTCATTGGTCCTCGAAGTGGTCGGGTATCTCCAGCACAAGTCCAGCTCCCACTACCGTGTACAAAGCCGCTCAGGAAGAAAGCGATGAACAGTTGTAAAGCTTTTGCTGCCGGACTCTTCTTGTCCATACCAAAAACCTCAATAAGCTTGCGGCTTGGTTCCTGGAATGCAAACCGAAAAGTTTGGTGCCACCAACTTCCCCACCACCCGGCTAGTCCTTTGTTTAGGACGACGCTATACGGTGCCCAGGTTTCGGGGTACATCCACGGTTCTGCACGCGCTCCGAGGAGAGAGGAAGAGAGCAAACCAGAGAAGACGAGCGGTCCTAGGGAGAAGATGGTTTGGAGCGCGTATTTGACAGCGAGCATAGATAGGGTCAGATGGTATATGTGAGTTAGGACCGGACTGTTTGTGAGGATGGAAGGAAGGTATGTCGGTGGTGCTCTGTCGACATAGCCCCAGAAATAAGGATCCCACATCATTGTCGTCTTCAGCGCATCTATGATGAAGTAACCTTTTACAAATGTCCACGCGTTCTTCCTGAGCAACTCTTTCCTGTCTGTATAGAGCTTTACTTGTCCATCGTGAATCCTGTACGAGTGTTTTGGCACCACGTCACCTGAGTTGGCGTGCAGTTGCTCCTGGATGAACTTGGGAGGCGGTGGGAGAGCAGAAGTTCGCCAGTTCCAGCCCATGCCGCGGAAGTTGCAGAATATATCCAAGACCCAGTCGAGACGCTCGATGAAAGGCCTGAGCGGATAAGGCTGCCATGCGAACTGGCCATGGCGGTCTCTTGGTCCGGCTGAACTATTGACGACATCCTCTTCTGTGGCATTTTCAGCACTGCTATTCGGTCTGTTCTTCTCTTTTGCTTGGTTTCGATCGGATCCGAAAACGCCTTCCATTCTTTCAATACGCATAAAGTCCGTTTGTGCATCGTTGCACACTATGATCGCTCCCACCCACGCCACGCTCCATGCATTGATTAGGCCAATCCCCAAAGCTGGTGCTACGGCCCTCGTCCTTGTGTATAAATTACTGTACGTTGCAAAGCCCGTCATCCATGCAAACGCCAAGTATCGAGACCTCTTGAGCCATGGCCGATTCTGATGTGGGATAAGAAGGTATATAATGACAACAAGCGCACCGATTGTTCCCCAGGGATATAGAAAGGGTTGGTATTCTCCAGACGCGACAGCTTTGTCATACTGAGCGTGGTAGTGATTTATCAAATCGTGATGCGAGTACGGCCAAGGGTCTGAGGATTTGAACAACATGCTTGCGGTAAGGAACAAAAAACAGCACACTGGTAAGAAACAGACGACATAGGAAAGAAAGAAAATGTACTAAGCACTTGGAATCACAAAACAAACAAGCGTGGCGCGAAATGCTGATGGCATTCTAGATGACGCACTGCATCTTGCGTGTGCGCTAGGCTGAAAGAGTGATAGCGCTGGACTGCGGGCGCCGCAACACCAAACCTTTACCATCGTGATATCGCTGGACTGCAGCCGCCACGAAGTGCGATACCGTATCCTCACCCCAGTCCCTCTCTAACCGAGCGCAAAGAGTGCGAATAAACCGCCAAGATGGTGAACATCACAGAGAAGATCAAAGAGTGGGATAGCGCTGAAGTTTTGATGTGGCCTTGTGCTAACGCCCCGCCAGGATTGAGGATGAGATGAGGAGGACGCAGAGTGAGCCAAAAGTACAGTTGATGTGGAAATCCAAGCTAACGTCTTGCAGAGAATAAGGCTACGGGTATGTCCACGCAAATTTGACTCCATTATCCAGCGGCAATGGGGTCATTCAGTATCACGTGCTAACATTGAAGTCAAGAATATCATCTTGGTCTACTGAAAGGGTACCAAACCTGTCCTTATTTACTAATGTATTTGTGCTAATCTGGCTACAGAAAACTTGCTCGTCTTCGCGCACAACTCCTTGAGCCCGCTGCAGGTGCAGGTGGTGGCGGAGGAAGCGGATTTGACGTATCTAAGTCTGGAGATGCACGTATAGCACTTGTTGGCTTTCCTTCTGTAGGAAAGTCTACTTTTCTCTCCAGAGTCACAAAAACAAAGTCAGAAGCCGCATCGTACGCCTTCACCACTCTTACAGCGATCCCCGGTGTGCTGGAATATGGCGGTGCCGAGATTCAAGTTCTGGATCTACCGGGTATCATTGAGGGTGCTGCAGAGGGTAAGGGACGAGGAAGGCAGGTCATTAGTGCAGCGAAAACTAGTGATCTCATCTGCATGATTCTTGATGCAACGAAGAAAGCAGAGCAAAGACGATTGCTAGAAGCAGAACTGGAAGCTGTCGGTATCCGGCTGAACCGTGAACCACCGTAAGTTCATGTTGACTCGCCGCATAACGTAGCAAGATGTTGACCGACATGCAGAAACATCTATCTCAAACCTAAAAAGGCTGGTGGCATGAAGATCAACTTCCAGGTTCCTCCCAAGCATCTCGATGAGAAGATGGTCTACAACATCCTCAAAGACTACAAGATGCTCAACTGCGAAGTACTTGTCCGAGACGAAAACGCAACGGTTGACGACTTTATCGATGTCATCATGAAGGACCACAGGAAATACATCAAGTGTCTATATGTATACAACAAGATCGATAGCATCGGTCTACCTCACCTGGACGAACTGGCGAGGGAGCCACATACGGTCGTCATGAGCTGTGAGCTCGACCTTGGTATTCAGGATGTTGTGGACAGGTGTTGGGAAGAATTGAGGTTGATCAGGGTGTACACCAAGAGGAAAGGCAATGACCCGGATTTCTCCGAGGCGCTGATTGTACGGCACGGAAGTACGATTGAAGATGTTTGCGACCAGGTGCATCGAACGCTGAAGGAGACGTTCAAGCATGCCTTGGTCTGGGGTGCGAGTGCTAGGCATGTGCCGCAAAAGGTCGGTCTTGGACATGTAGTGGCCGACGAGGATGTTGTCAGCATTGTGGCGAAGTAATGCTGTAGTTGACAGAGGAATGACCATCAGCTGTTCACGTCGTACAGAAAGGGCTCTGATTAGATAGGCTAACCGCGCAATCACGGCTTGCAAGCGCAACAGTGGCGTGTTTACTGTGCTGTTGCCATCCGAGATGCTCCGAGCATCGGACGAGAAGATCTGATAAGGGGCCGCCCCTGCACGTCCCCCATAAGGCTGTCAGTCCACTCCGGCCTGAGCGGATGCTTCATATCCGTCGCGCGAGATTATGATGCGAAGTCACGTGAGGGTTTCTAGTCTTTGGGTCGCGACTTTTGATTGGCACAGAGGCAGCCGGTTGAGCAGCAAATGGAGTTAAGATGGACCCTGGCGTGCCTCAAGCTCAGGGACGCTTGTACTCGGCGCGCTGAAAAGTTATTGCCGATAAAGCACTGCGTCCCGTTATTGCTACCTACTTGACCGAGAGCATTCGCCTCGCCACATTCGTTTGTATTCCCCTAGATACCCTGCTGCTTTGGCACTACTCTTTGGATTTCCCTTGTTGCCTTTTTTTCTCAGTGCGACACAGTAATACGTTTCTGCATTGCATGCGCCTACTGCTCATCCAAAACACCACGAATCGCAGCCCTCCCGTACCTGAATCCACCGATCGCCGAGGCATCCCCTCACCCCAACCACAGCAGCCATGGACGTCGTCCTCGAATTGGCAGACACGTTCTTGTTCGACCCTCTATACGCCACTCTCCTTCCCGCCTCTACATCGTCCTTTGCCGGCAATGCGACCGTCTCAAGCATCAGAGAGGAGCCCACCGCTTTCGCCGTGCCACATGCGACTTGGCAGTACGAGCCCTCAACACAGTTCTTCTCCGTCGAGCCCTCCAAGTATGCCTACATGAGCCAATGGACGCGTGACGATTGGCGACGACAGGCTCTCTCATTGTACCTTATCACATGGTATGCAGTGCCCCAGACACAATGGCTAAACTCTCCTAACAATTCCGTAGGCTCTTTGGCGTACTCGTCTACTACGTCTTCGCAGGCGCCTCGTACTACTTCGTCTTTGACAAGGCCACCTTCAACCACCCACGATACCTCAAAAACCAGATCAAGCAAGAGATGAAACAGGCCAACATCGCCTTCCCCATCATGGCCATCTTCACCGTACCCTGGTTCCTGCTCGAGGTCCGCGGATACTCTAAGCTGTACGATACCGTAGACCAAGGCCCGGGACTCTGGTACAACTACCTGCAGTTCCCGCTCTTCTTCCTCTTCACCGACTCGGCCATCTACTGGATCCACCGTGGTCTGCACCACCCCCGCGTCTACAAGTACGTCCACAAGCCACACCACAAGTGGATTATGCCGACCCCCTTCGCCTCGCACGCCTTCCACCCTGCCGACGGCTACGCTCAGGGTCTGCCTTACCACATCTTCCCCTTCATATTCCCTCTGTCCAAGTTCGCATACGTCTTCCTCTTCGTCTTCGTCAACATCTGGACTGTCCTGATCCACGACGGCGAGTACGCGCACAACTCTCCTATCATCAACGGTGCCGCCTGCCACACCATGCACCACCTATACTTCAACTACAACTACGGACAGTACACTACCCTCTGGGACCGCCTTGGAGGAAGTTACAGGAAGCCCAACGACGAGCTCTTCCAAAAGGAGCTCAAGATGTGTCAAAGCGAGTGGAAGAAGCAGGCGGAAGCCGTCGACAAAATGGTACAACAAGTCGAGGGCGATGAGAATAACCGCACATATGCTTCTGAGACGAAGAAGGTCCGCTAGACGTTCCTTTCGTCTCAAGTACATTGCAACCGGCAAAGATATTGAAACGCTGTTACGAAAAGTTTTTGGGGCGAAGAGTTAAATGCTCATGCGATCGCGGGCCGGTCTTCGTTGGCTGTTTGGATTGAATATTTCTGTGTGTGTGTGTGTGTGTGTGTGTGTGTGTGTGTATATATATCGTTCTTTGCGCTCGTTGCATCAAGAGTTTGAGTATACCGGTTTTGCTTTGAGGAGCAGAGCGCTTGTTTGTAATATAATGGAGCATAGGGAGTTTGAAGAATCGCTTCCTAGAATATTAATAGTAATGTGGCTGGCATGCAGCATTCATCTTTACTCGAACAAGTTGCAAATCGCATCATGATATCAGGCACACAGCTCTATTTGGACAAGTTGGTAAGCTTGACCCCTCATCGTACGGAGCGGGGCCTGACTCGTGTCACTTGGCCTTAGTCTGCGCCCTTTTCAATACATGCATGAACAAAGTCGTACGTATAATGTTGTATGTTACAAATCCATTCATCTGTGAAGTAAGAAAAGATACGTCAACTCAAAAACATTTGACAACAATTCGTCTTCGTCAAGTCCTGGTTTTTTAAACTCTGCTATCTAGCACTACCATCGGTCCTATCTAAAGTAAGTACACAAACAAGTTATGCTGCGAAATTGCAGTACAACGTGTTCACTATTGGACTGACCCTCTGTGACAAAGCCAGCCACTCCCCTCTCTCACCCCCAATAGCTACGTGCTCTTCCGTCATCATCATCATGGCCACCTCTAAGGAGAACACTCCTCCCATGATCTCCATAACGACTGTCCACGCCGAAGGCGAAATTGGCGACGTAATAACCTCTGGCATCCCGGACCCTACCCACCTCCCCACCATGTACGCCAAACTATGTCATTTTCGCGACAACGCCGACCATTACCGCCAAATGCTCATGCAAGAGCCTCGCGGCCGTGTCTCCCAATGTATGAACATTCTCCTTTCTCCATGCGACCCCTCAGCAGATGCTGGGTTCCTTATCCTGGAAAGCGACGAGTATGCTACCATGAGTGGCAGCAATACCATCTGCGTAACTACAGTGTTGCTCGAGAGTGGCAGGCTAGAGATGAAGGAACCGGTCACGACAGTCGTGTTAGATACGGCGGCGGGACT